TTGATCTTTTAATGCTTTTAACAATCCTAATCCCATGCGCCCCTGCTATGTACGTCAATGTGTAGGCGTTTACTGTGTACAGGCATTTAATGACGATAGTGTGGGAACTTTCTATGCTAAATACCAAAACAAATTATCTATTGAGTTTTGAATATGGATACCATTATTGTTACAAATGAGGAGTTATATTTAATTTTCATTTAAAAAACAAATGCTATACTATAGACTGCTGCGACCAAACTCAGACTCAGATAGTTTTATTAAATTATATAGAAACTATATATCATCATAATCATATATAAATGTACAATTATAACAAATTAATTGGCCTGCAGACATTAAGACTAGAAATAATCCGCTACCTTGACAGCCACCCCAGAGATGCTTATAAATAAGTATATTGATTATTTAACCTTGTATTTTCCAGTTTTTTAATATGTATGTACAGAATTTTTTTTAAATGCCCATATTTATTGCACACTGAGCAGGTACAAATGTTACAAAATTCATTATATACTTTTATGTGTTTAAAATAGTAAGAAAGCAAAAAGTAGCTATTTGAGATTGTATTATAATAATAATTCCATTCTTTTATAGCACATTCTGCAGAAAAGAGTCTCAATACGCTTTAAAACAAAAACAAAAAACAACAAGCAGTAAATAATTATGACTTAATCTACTTAAACTAAAAACAGTTCATCGATATAGGTGTCCAGAAAAGGGCTCCACCCACCAATGTTGAAACAATGTCACTGCCAAACCCGTCCACACAGGTACTCTGTTAGGCAGTATGCTGGGCTTCTTTCACCTCAGATTAAGCCTTCAGCTCTACTATCGTGCACTGCAAAAGACAATGACATTTTTCTTAAACAGGTGGGCCAGCTTTCGTACACACAGTATATTTCTTTTCATGTGCAAAGTTAAGCAAAACCAGAGAGGCTGCGATCCGTTTCAGTATGCTTGACTATATTTGTAAAGTTTTTATATTTTTATTTAAAATTTACTTTTGTGGGTTTGATTATTGAATGCTGAATTGGCCACTCTGTCAATCAAATGTACTCAGGCGGCAATAATCTGCTAGACAGGCTCGTAGGCTATATTTCAAGGAATTGCGTGTATCAATTTGCCAGACCGCAGTATTATTGGCTGGGAAGATCACCTATCAATAACGTTGTTCAGAGCCTTTGTTTGTTTATTTTTTGGAGCTATTTTCTTAACAAAAACATCTTCAATTATATGTTTCCTGAGTTTTGGGTGAAGTTCAAGTTGTTAATAGCTGTGTGGTCACCAATCAGATTGTACTTTTTCATTGTGTTTTGTAGCGGTTCCTTAAGGCTATCAAATTTTAGTTGACAAATTCAGAACATGGGATATGCCTAAATATGGTCATGATCACCTCATATCATGATCATATGGATGCACATCATAGACTATACTGTTATATATAGGCATTAGCCTATAATGCCTATATTATATAGGCCTTATACAACATTTTTTGTCAAAGAAAGTTTGATTGTATGATCAGATTTTTAGTAAATGTGATTTATTCCCCACACTAGTAATAGGCTGGGCCTGTAATTCTCTATGATCCTGTTTGGGTCCTTAGTCAAATTTTGTATTCGCACTGAGCCAGAACTGGTACTCCATGTCATTTGCATTTCCGTTTTATAGAAATTGGTGCAGAAAATACTGTGACTATAGTTTGTCATGAAATTACACCCATTGAGGAACAATTGACCCCCTCGTCAGGGGATGATTCCAATTTTTCCAATTCCAATCGGGGAAAGACCGCTTAAAAAATGCATTTTTACAATGTGAGAGTGCCATTTCTGGGCACTAGAGGAGCCTATTCTCAACATTTTCTCCAAGCAGGATGTGGCTGAGGTGAATTTGGACCCCTTTCAAGGAACTTGTACCTTGGACCCTAAGTTAGGGTAATGGATCCCTCATTAAGAAATTTACTACCCACACAATTATAAATTTGAAAATATCAAATCGAATATATTTCATTTACAACACGAAAACAAGTTAATAATTCTCAATTAAATCTGTTCAAAGTAAGCAAGTGTTACCGAGAAGGCATTCACCTATATTCCCTGTTGAAAGTATAGTCCCTTATTACACTCTGTACATTACTGACCAGGCACTAACGTATTCCCCTATTACATCAGTACCTCAATTACAAACTTTTCACAATAATTTAATTTGTGTGCGTCTAAGCTACTGTTACAGTCTACGTGTGTGTTTGTCCCAATTTACTTACACAATTTCTCACATGTGGGACCCCGTAAAAACTGGCACAGGATATATACAAGGCAATCTATCGACGCTTAGGTCATACACAGAATTGTATTAATGCGTTTGTATAGAATCACTATTAGGTATTAATATAAGGTATATAATATTAGGTTAATTATTGTTATGTTTACCTCAATGGAATTAAGTAGTTTAACTGAATGTAGGCCTGGCAAGTGTTCTTTTCTGCTTGTAAGACCAAGTGGCCGTATCGGTTCAGCCTATGTGGTCACTGCCAGCTTTCACTTCTGTGCTCTCATGTTTTTTTTCGCAACCGATTTTATTAATCATTGCTCCTCACGGTGATGTAATAGTACCGTACCATATCGCTCCTTGCTTTCATTTCTGTTCTGTGTTTTTTTTCATTTAAACCGCTTTGATTACTCAACCACACTTAAAAAGAAAACGTTAATACAGAAGCAAGAGACAAATTATTAAGCGATAATAGTACAGTATCAAACATTTCAGGTTCTATTTGCCTATCATTTTATTCCATAAGGTCTTTGTTATTTGTTTTTAATCAAGATGTTCCCTCTTGCCAAAACTTTAATTCAAACCATTTGTCTGCTGTTTAGTAGATAAAAAAAACAAGCTGTCTAATAATAATTTTCACTTCTACATATATCAATACTTTGTTTGATTTCAATAAAAATGTAGACATTAGTTTTAATTATTTCATAGATATTTTTTTTACCAGTTATTTCATTATTCTTGTATTTATTTATAATTTATGAATATATAATTTTTTCAAAGTAAATTTATGTTGTTATAATAACAAAATATTAATATTTTAAGCCAGTGTATTTTTGTTATTTTGTTGGAAGAATAAAAATACTATGTAAGTATGTATTCATTTGATTAAGGTGTTTATTTTAATTTTAATAATAGGTCATGTCAGGAATACTTTCTTACTTCATCATATTTGCAGTAGCTGGGCTGTCTATGTGGTCACTATACCAGCTTTTACTTTTGTACTGTCTTTGTTTTTTTTTCATATTTGTTCATATGACAAATTTGCGATGGTTATCTGGCGGATTTTCACACGTATTTGAATTTATCCAACATTAGAAGTTTTTCTCCTGGACTCCCTAGAAACATGGTCAATACAAGACTTCTCAAAGCACATAATTTATATAAATAATAAAAAAAAGTTGAGATTATTATTGAAACTGAATGGTTTTACTCAAGTTCAGATTAGTCATGACTCATCACTTTGAAGCAATAGCAGCACATGGCCTTCAGCTTTCATTTTTCTACATTACTTCTCATACTCAAACTGTGATTGGTCAACTATTCTAAAACCGTGTTGGCATTGTAATAAATTTGACAAAGACAAACTTATCCTTGATCAATTATGCCTCTGTTCGCACTATGCAGTTGGCTATTAAGGTAGTAAGAATTTACATGAGTGTGGTAAGTATAATCATTGATATATTCTGTAAAAATTACAACGATGTCCATGGTATCAGCATGTACTCAGGAAGATTTATCTGAGTCATGTTCTTCTCATTGGTCTTTTCTGCTGGAAAAACAGCCTGGTTATTCTTCCTTGACAACATTCACTCAATGAAACTTGCCACCATCTTAAGCAGGTTTGACCAAGGTGAATGAATAGCTCTGTCAACACAATCAAACTCTTGTATGCCCATATATATAGTCTTGATATGCCCATATATGGTCATGATGTGATGTCATCATGACCATATTTAGGCATGTCACAAATTCAGTTTGATAGTCTGGACAGAGCTTTACACGGCCACAGGGCATTCACACTGAATTTTTTGTCAATGTAACCAGGTACTGTATATGGTTAGTTTGATCAAAATTATTCCAATGTGAACACATGGTTTAACTTGACTTTTTAAATTTAACCGAATGAGCTTTGGCAGGTTAAAAAACAAGAACAAGTCTGTTTATTAGTTCACAGTAAGAATGCTGCTACTACGGTCAGGTGGAGAGTACAATTGCAACTTTAATCTTAGATGTTTACCTCAAAATGCATAAATTAAGAAACAAGATTCCAAACTCATGAGATATAATTACATGTGTCCAGAAATGTAACTGGTAATTTGCACTTTTGAAGTTGAAAGTTGTCTTTTTATATGTAAATTTCAAAGCAGTATAATGCTAATACTGTTAAATCGTCATTGTGTAATTGTTATAATAATTGTTAATAATAATATTTGTCATAAAAAAATATGTTTGCCGTGTAGTTCAAACAATCTGCATTTTTTTCCACTTTACATAAGGAATAACAAACCTGATGAAAATGGTGCATTTTACAATCATCCTTAAAATGTAACTTTTTAAAACAAAATATATTAATGGACAGTGATAAAATTTATATGATCATATAATATTTGTAAAAAAATATTGTAGATTTTATAATTGGTAGATTTCTATGTACTTTGTGACATTTCATTGTGGTAAAGAAGTAAAAATGTATGTAGTATATTTATACACAGTTCACCATTCCAATATTACTCAAACACCTAATCAGTTGCTTTTACTTATCTTTGTTAAACACAATCCTAAATCATGTTTAGCAAAATGTGAATAATAATCATGAGGAAAAATTCTACCCATATATGGCTCACCCCTGTGTATATAATAGATCAGTCCAAAACTTTGAAGTGATTTGTTTGGCTAGCTGTGATATTAGCTGGCCTAGTATTTTGTTATGAGCTTTGTAATTGGATGACAGCTTCTAATCTGTCCAGTTCCCTCCTTGTCAGTCTGAAGGTAATCGAGCAGCATAAGGACATTGTTACTGCATTCTGTAAGCACCTTGTTTTCAACTTGGTTCTAAACTTGGAATTGGGGAACCATATATATCAACATTTTTAACTGGCTTAATTTCCATTCCACTAGGAATTGGTACTTTGGACATCATTATGACGATCATCTCGAATTTGTAAGTATAATTATTTTTATGAAGTCATTTAAAGTTTGTTTATTAATTTCAGTTTTAAGTAGTATCATAACAAAAGCAGTTGACTTAGTTAATAATAAATATACACATACGTATTTTTCCTTTGTTTCGTTAAATAAATAAGAATAGTGTATATACTGTTTTACATATACCTATTACATAGGTTTTGCTAAGTTAGTTCCATACATCAGACAAATCCAGCCATTGTTTCTGACATAATTTTTGCTTTTTAGTTTTTCACCTTTAGATTATGTATTTATTATGCTGTCATAATTTAAATATTATTAATTAATATGTAACTTTTATCTATAATGTCTTTATTTTAATCAATTACATCTCCTTTATAAATATTTTATATTCTATATTTTGTGTTATTGTATTTGGTTTTGTGAGCAGAATTGATAACGCATGTGTATTATAATTAGATAAATTTCGGCAATTGTTCATTTTTTTTTGTGCCCATTTTTTTGTCTTGAATATCTTCCGGCACTTTTCAATATCTCAGGTGTTGGCTTCCTTTTATTAGTATCCTCTAAATTCCCTACAGAATATAAAACAGTTCCTGTATGACAGTCTGCAACTAATTTACAAGTTTCTCTATCCCTAACTTATTCAGAATTTGTTCACAAGTAGAAGTCCTCCTAGTTTACCCTCAACGCCATAATCAGACAAGGGGCCGGGTCAAAATTGCTGGCCTACAGGTATATAAACCCTAAGTACCTGTAGTGCCTGATATTATTTTCTAAAAAGATGGAATTAATGGCTTGAGAGGCAAAATTTCTTTTAGGCTCAATAAAACAAATTATTAGTTTATCACCCGATCTAGGCTGGAAAAGTGATGAGGGAGGGAGGCTTTTTATTTATATTTTTTATTTTGCTAAAGACAAATCACTTGTAGGGTGTTTGCTGGTGCATATGTATTCAAAGTAAAATGCATGATTGTGATAATACAAACAATACTATTTTTTTTTTAATTGAAAAAAAAGTGTTTTCATAATATAACACTTTTTTCTAAAAATTTTTTTTTAATACCATAGAGGAAATGCGGGTGAGGGTGATATACTAATAATATTTTTTAATGGACCTTAATTTTGGTCATTCCTTACCATCTTGGATTTTGATTGTATTTTGTTTTATTGGCAGAATAAAGAATAAATAAATAAATGCCACAGAACTACCATGAGTACTGTACATTTTTTTTAAATTTTTATAAGAGAACCATTTTATAAGAACACTGAAGCTGAAATTGCTTAAAAATTAAGAACAAAATAAGAACAAATTGAGGCTGAGGAAAAATTTCAAATGAGGTTTTTATTTAAAGAAAATATAGAAAACCAAATCTTATCTGTACCTTATTGCAGTAGTAGTGACTATGTGATGCTTTCTACAGTGCAGTACCGTAATATGTAATATATTGTTGTACAATATTAATTTTCTAGTTTGAAAGAGTTTCAAAATAAGAACAAAATAAGAACATTTTGAGCCTGAGATTAGAAAAATAAGAACACTGAGTCTGGGCAAAATTTTACTTGTTCTTATAAAAAAGAAAATGGTGAATGGAGTAGCAAAGTGTTGCTTGGTGCAGGGAGTTGTCATAGTGATGTGTAGGCCTACAATGCAGTGCACACTTCAATCATTATAGCTGGCATCCCCTTGAGGCTTATGGCACAAGTTGTAATGCTGACCCCCAGTTGTTATTCTTTAATTTTGTTTGTTGTCTGTTGATTTAGCCTTCAGTCACATTCCCAAGGCAATTTGAGTTAACAAAGACCATACAGTAGTGGCTATAATATGACCAACACACACACACAATATTTTGTTGTTGCTAATTGTATGTAAAATTGATGGGAAATCTAGTATGTATTCTCCTACAGTTAAAAATGCTTAAAATATTAGGATACTGTAGGTCTCCTGTTAATATAAAATTAAAAAATTTTACACTTCATTATGAAGTATTAGGCAGAAAAATAGTAAAGTTCTTCCCTCGATCGTTTGTGGTTGGTGATACATATGGTATGAATCATGTCTAGTGTTTATTTTATTTGCTTTCAGTGTGTTTACTTGGTAAAAGTAAGAAAGTGAGAAGTAGATTTGTCATTTTGGAGTAAAAAAAAAAAAATACTCATTTTAGGTAGTAGTGATTTAAAAGAAATCATTCTCCTTTTTTCAAAATATTAGGGCGAGAAACTATTTTTTTTACTTGGCCTAATATAATTTTGTTTAAGGCATGTTGGTTGATAATGATATAATCATAATTATGAATATATTTCTATTTATACCTCCAAACATTCACACCAATTTATTAAGAGCATAATGCACTTCAGTTACATTAGCATGGATTTAACTGCAGTCAGATAACCAGTATAATTATCAATTATAAATCACATTAGCTGATTCAACAGAAGCAGTCATTGTTTAGTGTCAATGACCTTTGGCCTATATTCCGTGTGCTTATGCCCAGGAACACTCATCGGGGATATGATAAGCTGCTTGTCTAAATCGGTAGCCATGCTGCAGACAATCTAATCTTGGGATGGCGTTTTCTCTAATGGAAATATATCCCTTTTATCCCTGTGCAATGCCCCATATGACGTATAGACCACAGGGCATAAATTATGTGTTTTATATCCCTGATGTCAACTGATGCGTCAATGATAGTTACACTGTACATTGTGTATTATTATCTCGTACTCGGGTAATGTAACCTTTCTTTCACAGCTTCCTATAATCTATTCATTAATTTGTGTAAAGTATGTTAGTGGCACACTGTATATAATTGTTGTTTTTATTGCTAAGTATTTTTAGTAGATAATATTTCTTAATGGCTAAAGCAATAAAATTTATAATTATAATTTCCCAATCTATTTTTGCATTAATTATTTTCATTGCCTCATTTAATTTTACATTGTTTTTCTTTTGACAATACATTATATATATATATATAGAGAGAGAGAGAGAGAGAGAGAGAGAGAGCACATGTTCAGATTAATATCTGTTCAATGTGCTTTACATAAAAAGATGGTAAAATACATTATTTAAATATGCAACATTATACAATGAAATTACAAATATATTACGTAGAAAGACTACAAAGTATACTTATTATTAATACATCATTATAATAATTACAAATTATCTAAAAAAAATCCTACCTTACCTAAAAAATTATATATTCAATTATTTTCGAAATTATTACAATTCAATACAATACAGATCAATTAAAAATGTTATTTCAATATCTACAATATGGGAAAGACAATATCAATTATATGGAAAGATAATAAACATTGCAATTTGCATCTTTGAAATTAACTAAAATTTGTAAATTCACCTTTGTAATTTGTAAATTTACCTTACAGAGTATTTACAATTATGTATAATTTAAAAATTTAAATTCAATAACTCAAAAATTATTCGAATATGAATTGTAAAAAATGAAACATTAAATAGAAATTGAGACCACTATATATGGTGTTGGAACCTGGGGAAGATAAGCTCCAGGCCTATGAGCCCCCAGTGGCTCGGAAAGGATTTAGTAGTATATATGGTGTTTAAACTTCTTATCGTAGAACAGGAATTATATAAAGTTACTCATGATAGCTTCCCCTGCAGTAATCCATTCTTGTTTAATACAATAGTTATCAAAAAGATAATCAGTAGCCTTGATGTTAGCAGGCTCCACAAACATGTTTTGTGTTTGTCATGAAAAAATAATTATTCTAGCTTAGAAATTTGCAGACTACAAGACTTTGTTTACACGTTTCTGTTGAAATACTTTTTACAGAAATCAATGAAGTTAGACAACAGGACCACTTCCGAGAGCTTTTGAGTGACACCGAGCATCCCCACCTACACTCTAGTCTTGGCGACACCAATGCTTTTTACCACTCTGTGGATGTCTTGTTTATTACATCTTCCCATGTTAGCAACAACTTTTCAAGCCTTTGTCCCCCCCCCCATTCCCCCAAAAAAGTACTTTTCTTCATTATTTGGGCATAACATGTGCTAAAGTGTTTGAAGGGCTTAATAAATGGTAATTGCCAAGTTTATATATGCTTGTAGAACTCAACTAAACTTTGCTTATGCACCTTAACCTAGCCTTGGCCTAGCTATTGGTGTCAACTGGAAATTTTCACATTCAATGTTGCAATTGCTTCTCCTCCTTATAAATGTCATTGAGCCAGCCACCTCTGTTGAAGAAGTCTAGTTTTTTTCTTCTTTTGCATAGACACCCTTATGATTCAACTGTCTGCAGTGTAGCTTTAGGTAGGAAGCGGTTTCTGTTCACTATTCACAAGGCGATACAGGATATGCTATAACTACTGTATCAGTGACACATTCGTTTGCAACAACATCCAGTTGATCTTTTACTTAATTGAAACATTCCTCTCAACATCAATCTAATATTGCTCTATGCCCTAATCAGTACTTATCACGGACTGCTGGGATGTCGGTTTATAAATATAATTTTAAAAAGTGATTCATTTTCTATATTAATATAGTAAAATTTATTATCGTGTTGACTCACATGGTTAAGATCAAAATGTTTGTGTTATTGTGAATGGGTGACAATGACATACCCAGAAATATTAGCATGTAGGAGAGGGAGGCCTGATGGGGCATGATGAGAAAGAGGGTGTGGGGGGAGGGAGGTAATATGAGGTGAATTTTCACTACATTCAAAATGTTTTCTGTTGGGAACACTGAATCGAGGAGGAGGGGGAAACAAATTTTTTTGGGGTCACTCTTTTTAAATATGCCAAAATTGGTTTGCTCTCTTCCAATTTATGTCCTTTGTCATATATATTATGTCTGGAACAACTAAAAGCTTGCTTTTGTGATGTCCCTCCATTTTCTTTCTGTGAGAATGCAATCAAGTTAAGAATGCTGTGCAATTTATAGTGAATCAAAACACATTACATTAGTAAGAACTACAAATTCATTTTTAGAATTAAGTTCATTTCGGTTCAGTTTATTTCACA